TAAAGTACACATACTTGTCCATTTCTCTGTCTTCGAGTCATTCCCCATTCATGCGGGGGATTGTTGGATTTCAAAAAGGTGTGATAGAGTTGCGACTTTTATGAAGAGTTGTGACTTTTATGAAATGTTGCGACTTTTATAAAAAGTTGTGACTTTTATGAAAAGTTGTGATTTTTATGGAAAGTTATGACTTTTATGGAAAGTTGTGACTTTTATGAAAGATGACGACCTTTCTGAAATATTGTGACTTTTCTAAAGGTTTGTGACCTTTCCGGTAACGCACAATAAGAACCTTTTCACACTACCCTTTGTTTTCTATAATTGAGGGATTTTCTCTCATTTTAATATAGAATTCATGGACTTTTTCTTCAACTACTAAATCTAGTATTCTAAGTCTTTATTGCCGTTGAGTGGTTCACTGACACCGGAGTTTTTTGTATCTATACTCTGGTGATTGAGATCATTTTCCCTTGGGAGTTCATATTCCTGATCAAACCTCAGATACTAGAGGGGAATAATTTCCTTAAGGGGACACTGTGAGTTCAGTGGACTTGATCTTTTTCCTATTAAAATTTTTCCAGATTCTGGTACGTGTTTTACAAATTTTAGATTTGTGAATTAATTTCAGTTCTTCTATTCTTTTGTTCTTCACTGGTTTATTAAACTTGGTAACTTTGTGTTTCTGCAAAGTTTGTTGGAATCAGTAAGATTTTTTTAGACACATATTAACAACAAATTCTTCTTTAAGAAAAATATTTTGTATATTTTTTTCAAATTTGTTTCTGATTCTAGTTTCGCTACTAGTTTTGATTTTCTAGTTGTGAAAATGTTCTTAAACTTTGTTGTCTTTCAAATATGTTCAAAATTTTGTTCTAAGTATATTTGAAATACAAGATGAACAACAACTTTTGCCTGTGATAAAACATAAATGTTTGTTAAGGAGTTTCGAATCTCCAACCTGCATTTCCTAGTCAAATTAGGATAAAATAGACTAGTTGAACTAGAATTCAATTTGTGTAGAACTTTACTTGATTTATGTTTTAATATTACACTTTAAATAGTTTTATTAGTATAATGTTATAAAATTTGCGTTTTTTGATTACTGAGACGGTGTGCTGCTTTCAAATCATTATCCATCTGTTTTCAATTGAAAGATTAAGGCAGGAATCTTATGTGAGCCTTGTGGTGGCACTGGGTGACTGCTCTGTGATTTTTGTAAAAGTCAGAAGACCAATGTGAAATATGAGACTAACAAAATTTTTCGTCGGTGTCCATCATGTAAAGTTATAAGTGTTTTCTTTTTGCTGTATTCCTATATTAATTTCTAGGAATTGTAATCATCTCACGTTCTATAATTTTTCGATAGAAGATAATCCCAATAAGTTCTTTCTTGATGGTACTGCGCAAGTGGAATACTTATTGTGCTCAAAAGAAAGTGAAATAAAATAGTTCATAACAACAATTCTTTGAAATCTCAGGCATAATTATATTCTTACAGATCATTGCACGATTATATTTTTTTTATAAAGGTTCCCAATTTGAGGTAGTTTGACAAGTTGGGATGAAAAAAGGAATTTAAATTGCTTAATAATCTCATATCAGTATCAAATATTATTAGGATGTATTTAAACAGTATTGGTTGTGGTGAGATAGTTGAAATCCCTCCGTCTTTAATAAGAGGTCTCGAGTTCAAGCCCCGAAAATGAAAAAAAAATCCTGTTAAACACGACAATGTGTGAATCCTCTTATTTCTCTCATTCATTCCCGTGAGACCTTGAGAATCATGCTAAATGAAACTCAGAATTTTTACTTCTTTTTTTGCAAACATGTCAAAACAAGAAGGCAAAAGTCCCGCCTTATAAAAACTTATACATAGAGGGGAAAAAATGGAATAATATACTTAGTTTGTGGAAAAAAGAAAAAGGCAAAGTAAATGAGGGGGAAATTTAAGTACAGGGATGATGTAAATATTGAGTCGTTGGGATCTCAAATATGCTAGTGATATTATTTTTATCAAATCATATCAATTTATCACGATAAAGTAAATTTGACAAGCGAAAGACTTTACAATTAAATTAGCAAGAATTTTTGCAGCCTGTCTCAAGAACAACATGATGTATAGTTGCCAAAATAAGATACCATTTCACATAAGCACATGGCACATGTACTTGAAGAACACATTATTGACATAATGTGGGCTATAGCCTGAAATATCCACTTTTTCTATGATAAGATTCGTGTTGGTGAAAGAGTTTCAAATGTTATGATTTTACGTTGTTTACGGGGGTGTTACTCTGCCTGGGGGAGCTTGGGTAAAAGAGAAGGGATGCAATAGCCAATGTAAAACTAGCCAATTAATATGAATCCTCAACAATACTTTGTCTAGGACGCAGAGGGGAGGTCACATGATTCGTCGTTAAACTATTTTTACTTAGCCATCAAATATGGTTGCCAGTACAACGTAGCTAAGTAATAGAAGCATACTTGACAATTGCATACTGGAGACAAATACTTTAAAATTTTTATAGAGCTTAGAGGGTCATTTCATTAAAAGGAAGAATGGATTGGCAAGCATATCAGAGAAAACATTGCACCAATAATAAAAGAAGATAACAGTACAACATACCATTGCTAAAATTCTGAGGAAATCGGAAATGTGTAGCCTAAGAAACGACCAAACAGCAGAGGAGATCAATCAGATTCAACAATCAAAATTATATATATATTCCCAGTAAGATCAGTAAAGTTTGTTTTTTTTGCAGCGATCGCTACGCCAAAAATGATCGGGATAAATGGATAAATAGTTCAAGGACTATCTAATATTATCGACCAAACATGAAACAAAAAAATCCTACAGTTTATTTTGAGATTATTATACCTTATATCTTACGTCAAATGAATCATGAGTCCTATTCAAAATTGAAATAGAAATGAGAATTAGATAGCGTACCTTTTGAGTGAACTCAGACCAATAATTTTCTGGGGAAGAAATATGGCTAATTTTATATGTGCAGTCAAATGATTTTTATTTTTTTTTAAATTTTTTGATGGGAGAGGTTTCTTGATTCTCCTAGAAATCACACACAAATGGCTAAAAGGGACTAAGGCTCTGTTTTTTATCTTTTAAAAAAATATAAAATGAATTTTTTTTTAAAGTTTCACATCCTAAGTTATCATTTATAGACTTCTTCTATTTTTTAAATTGTTATCATCTAAAGTCAAAAGTGAATCCAATAGTACTTATTAATATATATTTTTATAGTAACATTAACTTGACAAACAAATAAATTGGTTACATTATTATATAAATATGATCAGTTTTTAGAAGAGAAACGTATTTAAAGCATCTTTATATTTGATGTGTATTATTTATTTCGTTCTTAAATTTACTGCGCTTGATGAACTAAGCTTAAATGCACTCCTCTTATGCTATATGACATAGCAAGTGATACTTATTTTTAATTCGTGAAAGATTAGAAAATTGTCACATTAGACTTTTTTTTAGAAAAAAAGTTTTCCTTCAATTTTTAGTTTCCAGTGATTATACTTTTTTTTAGTGCGTGAAAGATTAGAAAACTGCCACATTAGACTTTTTTCTTAGAAAAAAAATTCCCTTTTCCAACCTCTACAAAATTCTTCTTCTTTAAAGGATTGAGAAACCCTCAAATCGAGAAGGCGATTTTACCGTTTAATCAATAGTTTCTCTTACCACTTCTATCAATGTTTTCAAGCTTAAACACGTTTGATTCCACGGACATCTAAGGATTATGCTGTGAGATTGGAGAAAAAATTTGGCCAGAAAAAAAATGTGAGATGCTGAACTATAACCAAACCCCTCTAATTTTTATTTCTTTATGCTAGTAACTTTTAAAATTAATTTAAAGAAATAACAAATTTCTATTTTTTTTATTTTTTAATGCATATATATATATATATATATATATAACACATCAATTTTTTAAAAAAATCTTTATGAACACCTCCACAATAGGTTGGAGAGTCATCACATATACTCACACCAATTTAACGCTTATTTTCGTATTTATAGGCCTTTGTTAAGAAAAATTTATGGGGACTTTCATAATGAGTTGGTGAACCATCACGTATAGTCATATCTTTCTTTTAACACCTATTTACATGCATTTTTTTAGGAATTACATAAATTTTGTTATTTTTCTTGTGTATTAGACAATGGAGCGACTCCTCGGAGACCCCAATAAACTCTGTGAAGACCTCCGTAATGAATTGGGGAACCACCACGTCGAAAAGATGGTCCAATCGTTTATCTTTTCAAATGATGATGACCATTTCCCATTACATCGAAACCATCTTTTCAAACTTATTTTACAAACCTGTCTATTAAGTTATATTTTATTCTCTTTAAGTTGTTGTCAATATCATCGGTAAGAGTTCTTGGGATTGAAGTTAAGTTTTTATGTTGGGATAATGAGTTTTTCATTACGGATTAATTTATCGAAGTGCAAAAAAATTTGGTATATCAAATGTAGAATTTTGAACACCTTGGAGTGCTAAAATAATTATGTTAATTAGGCACACCCAATACTTTTTTTACAATGAAAATTTCTTTTTAAATATGGAAGTAAAAAAACAGGCAACTAAGAAGCTTGAAAGTAGTTAAAAAACGTTATGTCTAATCATTGACATTCAATTTTGATCATTCACAATGTAAATTAAATTGCAAATACTTTAAAATATTTCGTTTTGTTTTTTCATGTTATTTTAAAATATAGTTTTTATCACTTTTTATAATTTTAAAATAACATGTATGCTTTTATATAAATATGTATATAATTAATTAACTAGTACATTTTATGAATATTAAAAACTGTCTCAATTTTTTTGGTTCATAATTAATTAGTTCATAATTATTTTATTTCATTTAAATTAAGAACTTGTTAATTAAATTGAAGACAAATTTTATAAATTTTATTACTACGTTCTTAAGTAATTTGAAATCTAAATACAAATAACGGCTATTTTCATTTCAATACAAATACTTGTTCTTTCTCTTCTTCCACTTCACTACCATTCTCTTCCACAGTAGCACGAATTAGGGGATAAAGATGGGTTCTAATCTCTCAATTTTACTTCTTCTTCGATCAAACAGAACTACTTCTTTTTTCTGGGTGTAAGCATCAAGAAAATGGCGAAATGATGGTGGCGAGAGTAAAATTGGCAAATGAGTACAGATATTCCTATGCTTCTTGAATCAATTTTCGTATGCCACTGTTAGTATTCAGGTATTTTTTCCCATTTTCGTCTGATTTAGGGTTGGGGGTTTAGTTGATTTGATTGAATAATTTACTTTTTCCCATTTTCGTCTTCACTTAGGATTGGGGGTTTAGTTGATTGATCGAATAATGTATATAAAACCTCGAAATTAACTTGTAGGAATGGGGAATTTGGTATATCAGTCATGTGATAGTTCACTCTCCTGTTACTGCTTAGAATTAGGAATGAAACATACAATTTTGTTTTGCTGAAACTCTTCTTTTTGTATATTGATGAATTTTAGTGAATTCATTTTCTTTATCGTTTCTGTGTTGTTTTAGCTGTACTTATCTATTTTCTTTTTGTATCAATTGATGATTGTTGGATCCTGATAATTATCCAAATGATTTTCACCTCTTCAATACGGATTTCCAAACTTTTGAGTTTTGCACAAATGGAATCTGAAATAAATAAATAAATATGGGAAATTTCAATAACTAGCTGCTTCATAGAGCCAGGGATTTTGAAAATTGATATTAATATACCGTTGATGTGGGGGCTAGATTCTGTTGCCGTAGAGATGTTTGATCAAAGTCCGAAAAGAATTTTAGTTTAGCGGAAAATCATGAACAATAATGATTTGCTCAACACATTTATGCTCAAACTTTTCTCAGCGGACAAGTAAGCATTATAATTTTCCTTATCATTATAAGCCTGGATAATGGAATCTTTAGGATGAAAATGAGTTTTTCGGTTGATTTGTCTTCTTCACTCTTTGCTTTTGCGATCATGTCAGATCTTTTTAACGCACAAATAACTACCAAGGGGTTAAGTATTCATCCCAGCCCTCCCCTGCCTCTTCCTGGTTAAGAGATTATCCATACCTCTTTGCTGTGATTCCTTTGGAAGTAGATCAGTAGTAACTCGATCACAGTCCGCCTGCACATCGCACAATTGTGTTTTAAAATATTTCAAACCACTGTAAAGTAACTACTAAACAATGTTACAACAACTGTAATTCACTACTGACCTAGTAGCAGAGAGATGACGTAGGAAAAGAACCTAAAAGTGGATTGAGAGAGCTTGTTTTCTTTGACTGTGGAAAGAAACAGTCTGATGTAGCATCTAAGGTTCAACCAGAATGTTCATGGGAAGAATGCCAAAAAAGTAATGAGCAACCTAGAACCAAGTGTTGGGAGTGTTTAGTTGTCAATTGAGACCAAGTTGATGTATCTAGATGTGCCACTCTCAAAGTTGGAGTGCTTACTTGCCAGCTGAGACGAAGCTTTGAGTATTATTTGTTTATGCATTCTGATTTTTTTTAATCAAAAAACTCATCACTCTGAATATCTGCAGAAGAAGTACTTTGAATCAAAAGACAAGTTGAAATGTGTTGTATGTATTTTTTCTATATATGATGCCATGTGAGGGTGTAGGGTGTCTTTGTTTCTGAAAATATATTTAGTGGGGTTAAACTTGTAGTGTACTCTCTTCTCAGCACTTGCCAACGAAGATGATCCATCTTTGCTGTTGTATTGTTTGTAATGGCATTTTAATATTTACTCAGAAACTCTGCTTTTATATATAATTCTTTTTTTTTGTCTTCTTTATTCAATCATTTTTGTTTGTTTACTCTTGATCTATATGTTCCTAAACACGTTTAAAGTTGAGCATTTGTCATGTTCATGTGAAGATTAGTTGTATTTAGGGTCCTAAAATCACCACTACTACTATTTAGTTAACTAAAAATTATTCTACTTCACAATTATAGATCAAAGTCAGAAGAGAATTTTAAACAGAATCTGTCCTGTGGCAAGTCAGATTTGGAAACCTATGAGAAAGATTTGGAAAAACACACCAGCTTCTGTTTGTTGGATATTAATTATGGAAGGGAAGAAATGCAAGATGTTTTGAAAGAAAAGCAGATTATGTACAGAAGACTAAGGTTACATGCTTATGACTTTTGGCTTTTTGGTTGATCTTCAAGATGAAAATAGCTTGGTAAATTTCATAGACTCATTACAAAGATATTTGTACAGAAGAACCTTTTCTTTTTGCTTTTGTGTATAAGAGGGTTATGACGATATTAATGTACTAGCACCAAGTTATTGCTACATTATTTTTATTTTTTTCCTTATCAATTTAAGCCTGTATAGATGGAATCTTTAGGATGAAAATGAATTTTTCGATTAATTTGTCTTCTTCTTTCTTTGCTTTTGCGACCATGTCAGACATTTTTAACGCACAAAGTTATCAATGGGTTAAGGTATTCATCCAAGCATTCCCCTGCCTCTTCCTGATTAAGAGGTTATTCATACCTCTTTCTTTGAAGCACTATTCCTTTGGAAGTAGATCACCAGTAACTCGATCACAATCCGCCTGCATATCACACATTAGAGTTTTTCAACCCATTGTAAGGTAACTACTACTTAACAATGTTACAACAACTTGGTTTTCTTCGAGTAGTAGAGAGATGATGACGTAGGAAAAGGACCTAAAAGTGGACTGAGAGAGCTTGTTTTCTTCGACCGTGGAAAGAAACAGTCTGATGTAGCATCTAAGGTTCAACCAGAATGTTCATGGAAGGAATGCCAAAAAGGTAATGAGCAACGTAGAACCAAGAGTTGGGAGTGTTTAGTTGTCAATTGAGACCAAGTTGAGGTGTCTAGATGTGTCACTCTCAACGTTGGAGTGCTTACTTGCCAGCTGAGACGAAGCTTTGAGTATTATTTGTTTATGCATTCTGATTTTTTTTTATCAAGAACTCATCTCTTTGAATATCTCCAATTTTGCTGCTCTCTCGTTTGCAAGTTCAAGTTAGATGCTCTGATAATTGTTTCAACGTCACATTATTGTCGCAAATTTTGTGTTCAACAGTTGTATATCTATTATGGATTGACAAATTTTACAAGAGTTTGACCTCTTTGTAGCATCAAATAGCCGATTCCAATCCCGGACAATGAAAGTGCATTGCAGTAGGTTGATGACCAGGTTCAATTGGGAATTTTAGTCTATGCTACTGTTCACAATCTCAGTCAGTTCTCTTTCTCTCCTTATTTGTATTTTTTTGAATTTCCGTTGAACTAATATTTCTGTATCACCATCCATGACTTTGGATCCTTTACAACCTTGTTTAATTATATGTGATCTCTAAATTTATTTAATTTACATTTAAACCAACCTGGTTAGGTAGTTTCCAACACTTTCTCCTCTAAATATCGGAAAGGTTTGATTCCTTGAAATGCACATGTCAGCATTCAGTTTTTTTAATCGACATTCAGTTCACTAGCCACGAATATGGTTCTTTGCTCTCTCTTTTCCCTACTTCATTTAAGTAAGCATATGAACTTGTAATTTTATCTTCTGGGATCTGCTGCCTGATTTAATGTAACATGACTTGGTGAATCTTGTCATTTGCCAAAGTTAATGACTGCAGATTTTCATTATTATTGTATTAGCATTTTAGAATTAATTAGCACAAGTGTCCATCCTGCACTCTATAAAATAAACTTTGAAGATCACTCTCCAAGAATGATATTTTTCCAAGAATGACATTTTATCAAGAATGATAATTTTCCAGTAATATGTTGGTGTATATCATTGATTACTTGCACATCTATCCCTTCCTTAACAAAAAAACATATCTTTCCATTGTTTTTTTTGTCAGCTTAATCTCCGCAACTGTTTCATATATTGAAATGGATATTTATTAGTTAATAATATTCAATGATAAATTAATTGAATATAGAAGAAAATATCGCTATCCCTTTCCTTTGTTACATTTTTTGTCAGCTAACATACATGTGTTACTCTCTCTCTCGATAATTATAACTCTGAATAGTTTATTAAAAATTTTGGAATACAAATTATGATAAACAAAATTTGTATACTTTTTAAGGGCGAGGCGGGGGACCACAAGGCACAACGCCTCGAGGTCCTTGGGAGGGGGAGGGGGGGGGAGGGGCTGGGACAAGGCGCCTCGAGGTCCCAAGGGAGGGAGGGTGCGGGGTGTAGGGATTAGGAAGTTGTATATGTAGGGGGAAAGGTAGGTTAGAAAGGTAGTGAGGTAGTGGTGAGGGGGGGAGGGGTAGCGTAGGCTGGGTGGGTGGGGTAGGATAAGGAGGTAGGTAGGATAAGGGGTT